GGGGGGGGGGGGGGGTTGGGTGGTTTCAAACCAAAAAAATTCTGCTCTAGCGGGAATATGCATATGGAACAAAACATCACAACTAATTCAGGTGATGATAGACGACCATGTTGTGAAATCATCCTTAACAATCTTGGCATTGCACTAATTTTATAGGGTGGAGGCAGTGAGAAGACAGTAGAGTCTTTAAAAGGCTTGTATTCTGAACAATCATGAGTTAAAAAGATGAGTTATGTAGTTTTTATTCACAAATGTGCTCCCAACAGAGAACGTTACTCCCATGTGAAAAGGTCGGGAATGCTTTTTCAGAAGTTAGAAAGGGAGACCAATGCAGGCGTGGCTCAAGTTTTATTTGACCTCTAAAGGATACTACTCTGAACAGAAAGAGCAGATTTTTATTATTTCTTTGCAGGCAACTGTTAAAGATGACTTGATGGCAAAAAATAGTCGCTGTGGCATTTCATCCTGAACACCTTAAGTGAGACCAAAACCTTTGATTTACACCCCTGAGCGAGATGATGAGCATCCCCGACCTATTCACATGGGAGTCCCCCGCCACTGGAAATGTGTATGAGAAGGAAAATAAAATTTAGTTATAGTTTTGCTTTGTGAAGTTAAGTGTACGTAAAATTCTGTTGGCCAATAATGAATGTTTGAGATTAAAAGTGGTGACTTTTGTTCATGGGTCAAGCACCCCCTCCTCTCCCCTGCCTCCCCAGGGTTGGAGCAAGCTGAGCATGTTGAGGGGAGGAAGCTCTCACAAGGGAGCACTTTGACTTCTTCCCCAGAATACAGTCAGCGTGCTTCAGTTGCCAATTTTTTAGCCTTCAAACAAACAAAAAAAGCCTGGACTAAATTCTTGCTCCAATGCACCTGAAGCTTATTTCATGTGATCTGCTCTGAGGTACTACGAGTGAGCAGTAAAAGGGGAGCGGAAATTTCACGATACAAAATCCTTTTGAACACTATTTTGCTGTGCTATTGTTTTCAAGGTAAAATCTGATCTCATTTCATTTCTTTTCTAAGTTTGAATGATATTCTCCTTGTTTCCCTACTCCCCCATCGTCGTTACCTTACTGATGATCCCCCACTACCACCCGGTAAGTAAAAATATCTCGCCCCAGTTTCCAACGTTCCATGCATGCAGTTTACACACTGTCGTGCAGAGACGAAGGTTTGGTGCTTGTTATTTTCCAATTTTTTGCGTGTTACTCGACACCGAACCATGAATAACGCGCTACAGTTATGGGATGGACATCTGTCTGTGATAACCCGACCAGTGCCTCACGTTCAGGCCTCTCTGGACGTTGTTGTGAAAATCACTTATTCGGCGGTATGTGGGACGGATCTGAAGATTCTCGAAGGAAAGTTTCATTGTGAAAAATCTGTTATAATGGGCCACGAGTTCGTCGGTATTGTCAAAGAAGCGGGAGCTGACGTGAAGCATGTGTCTGTTGGCGATCGGTGAGTTTTTTTGTCGAATGCACGGACACCTTTTGGTTTAATACTTCCTACTTTACAGGTAGTATACACGGCATGTATGGGCAGCTTCTAAGATAGATTTTAATATGTAGCGTCACAACGACGCCCTGATTTAAGCTTACAATTAGCTTAAGCTTAACCTTATCTTGGTAAATTTCCAAGCTTATCGTCTAAAGTTGCTGTATTAGCTCGTAGACTCGGATGTACATGCATAGGAATTGAGCGTTGATATTTGAAAGTGTTCTTGTATTGTACGTACTCAGGTTCTTTGCGGTTCCGAATATATTTAAGTTTAAGATATTGTCAAACATTTTCTGAAGGCAAATAGACTGTTCAGTCATTAGGCATTTCTTCTTCTTTTTGCTAAGAAATAATTGGATCGATTGTAAAGCTCTTCTGAAGTAACGTTTGATTTTTAAAATTCGATGCTACTGTACTCCCCCCCCCCCCCCTACCTCAAGCCTGACTGGATTTCTTGCACCCCCTCCCCTACATCACAAATCCACGAGAACTTAATGAAACCTTGATCAACTCTGCTGAAGAATTCTTCTCGCCTCCTCCACTGCTCTTGTTTTCTGTTTGTTACAAACTCATAAATATGTGTACTTTTGGGTTCATGCAAGGTCTCTTGAAGAAGGCGTTGGGTACCAAAAAATTTGTGTTGGTCCTGATCAATATAACAATGAGGGTGGGGATGGGGGGCGTAGTAAAGCTGATAATAAAAGATAACAAACGACCTTTATTTACTCTCAGTCAGTGCTTAAGGAGAGCCAAGCAATTAAATTTCAGAAGCAAATATTTCATAGTGAGGTTATAAACACCAACTAACTGGCAGAAGGCAAACCAGCTGACTATTTACAAACTGTGCCGAGGAGTTGAACTCAGATCTACCGTGAAACGACACCAGTTAGTTGACAGAGTGAAACTTGAACCCGCCTCCTCTGACCTGGACCTCCTGATCGGAAGTTCAGCGGACTAACCACTCAGCCATGCTGCCAGGCTACTTCCTTTTGTGATGAGGTTTATATAATTGCCCAAAATGCTTGTAGGCATCATTTCTTCCTTTTAAATGATAAATAGTCAGGGCCAGTACACATATGATGATCATTCTTCCAAGCAGCTGGTAGCACCATCTTCAGTATGCTGTATATAGTGGCATAGAAAACTACACAAATGATTTGGTCAGAATTGACACTTGCACATGCTTTTATGTCAAACAATAGCTGGCTGGCTGAAGTGGCCATATTAGTTAGCAATTCTATGAACCAATAATGTACATGCCTGTACATGTGTGCACAAGTTAAAAGTTATGGACTGATCAGTCTGACCGGGTTAAGATCAACTTGTATCAAAATCTACATACTGGTACCCATCATACAAACTGATATATTTATTACCATTCTGAACATACCAGCCATAAAGTTGGACAGTCGACATGGCCTCAGGCAGTAGGTTCATACATTTTGGCACAAGATTAGTTGTTTTTCTCATTTAAGTTAATATTGATATTCCTTTTTGACAGTGTCGTCATTAACCCTAACACCAGCTGTGGAATGTGTGATAACTGTACCAAAGGAGTGCCACATTTCTGCAAATTTGAAGGTGTGAAAGGCACTATTGGTATCAGGCGTAATGGAGGATGGGCACAGTATTGCCGTCTGCCAGCCAAGAATGTTGTTCCTTTACCCCATCAGCTGTCATTTGAACTTGGCTTGTTACTGGAACCAATGTCATGTGTTGTACATGGCTGGAATCTTTTACAGCCGATCTCTCCTGATTCAGAGATCTTAATTTGTGGAGCTGGAAGCATGGGTCTTCTGTTCATGTGTTTGTTACACTTCAGGGGTTACAGAGAAGTTGTTGTGACTGAGCTGTTAAAAGGTCGTCAGAAAATTGCACAGAAGCTTGACTTTGGTTTTCAAGTAGTACATCCTGAAATTTTAGTTTCGGAAGCTAGAAATGCAAAGCACGATGGTGATGAAGACTGGGGTTTTGACATTGTCATCGACTGCTCTGGGGATCCAAAGACCCTTGAACAAGGGGTTCAGTGGTTACGTCAAGGAGGAAAATTTCTTCTGTTTGGAATTTCACCTGCAGGATCCGAAGCAAAAATTGATCCACATGAAGTTTATGCCAAGGAACTGAAGATCATAGCATCCAGGATTAATCCTTTTACCTTCTCCTCATCTATGCAGATAATACAGGATATGGGAGAACGGTACTTGAGTTTTGGGAGGTTAGGTATGCGCACTTTTCAACTCCAGGAATTTACAGCAGCTTTGGAAGTCCAACGTAGTGGAGAAATTTCAAAAGCTGTCTTTGAAAATTAAGTGTTGGTGAAATGAGTTTTCCAATTTCCTTCAGCAGGAGCTCAATGCAAACCATTGTGCAATATGTATCTCGCTCTCTTTCCCATCAAATCATTTTAAGTTAAAGTGTAATATTCAGGAGGTCATCTACTTCTAAACATCAGGTCTGGGTTGTTTGAAAGGTGGATGATGCTATCCACCAGACAAATCACTATCCAGTGGATTGCATGGTTTGGTTTGTTAACACTTGGTAACACTGGATAGCAATTTATCTGGTGGGCAGCGTTATTCAGTCTTCAAACAACAGGGGCCAGTATGGCGTCAGTGTAGCAGCAGAATTCTCAGTGTAGCTTTTCTGTCCCTCTCTCCTAGATTATTAAAAACGAAAACTGAGAATGGAACAGTGTTATCACGTTTTCAAATTTATCAGAAGCCTTACGACTAACATATCACAGGGAATGAAGAGGATTAGTGAGTGTAATTAAAATGTAACATATACAGCTGTATTCTTTCTGAAAGGCAATCAGCCAAGGCTTTCCCAGTAGAATTAGTTCATGCTTTGAGCTGTCCATATATTGGGTTATAATGCTCTTAGCAACATGAAAAGTACTCGAGAAGCTAGAGTTGCTCTAGGCATAAACACTTATGCTCCTCTTGTCTCCAAACTCTCCTATGTATAACTGGATGAAGCTACACTAAACATGAACCAATTCTTAAATCATATTCAGGGATGTTGCTAAAGAAAGAAAAACAAACAAAAAAAGAAATACTGGCTGGCTTTTTAACAAACTGAGCCAGCTTTTTTCACCTTGACACCTTGAAAGTCACCCAAAGTCTTTGTTTTGTAGTCAAACTTCCTCAGCCCATGATGAGCTCTCTTCAGTTAAAATTAGCAGCAATAGGTTCTCAGCTACATCCCTGTATATTACTACATTAATAATGAAAATAGTAACAAAACAGAAAATATTGCTTTGTATATTTTTATTCGTCTGCAAGTTCAGAGTACACTGCTCTAGGTTTTATCTAAGAAATTAAAAAATATATATACAGGACTTTCAACATAGTTGTGATAAATTAAAAAATTGGCAAAGGTCAACAATATCAAATTGTACAATAACATCATAAGGCTTAAATAACAAAAGGTGCTTAATATTGTACATTATTGAGAAAAGACCATGTACACCCATTAAAGAAAGCTTGCTGGATTTTGCAAAAAAACAGAAAACAAAAAACGACATGGAACTGCATTAGCTCCCATACTTGTATTAGTCAAACACTTCAGTCTGAAATCATTATTTTAAAAATGTGGTTACTTAGAAAAGTTAATAAATATTCCAGTATATGTGATCATAAATGTTTCTTCATGTATTATTGATGAATGGATCTATTTCACCAATATCACCTTACAAAATTCAAGAGACTGGAAGAAGCAGGAGGCACACAGGCACTCAAATACATTGCAAGTGCATTCTCGACAGATTCTTCCACTGTGACTTTGTGTACAATAGGAAGAGATACATCCTATGATAAATAAATTATATTCTGTTTTAAGCAAAAATGTTTTCAACTGCCCTGATAAATTGCTAAGTTTATTTACAAAATCTATAAACTCACAGCCAGTTGAATTCTATTATGGTAAAACATGAAGTATCACTTTGAAGTCAACCAACACACCTATAAACAAAGGTGGTAAAGTTGATAAAAATGATAATACGGTCCAGTACTTTTTTACACAATGTCATAAAAATTCTTTGAACTGCTAGAGCTTTCATCCCACAGTTTAAAACTGTATGGTGTTATATAATGTAATATTTAACTTGCTCTTCAGTACTTGGTTATTTGCAAATGATGCATAATTATTTACATGAATAGCTCTTGAGTATTTTGTTGTCCACACAATAAGTCTACATATAATGCTCTATAAAATGGATAAAATTGTTAAAAATGTCCTATCTAATGCTATGTAAGGTGGAAATACTTTACTAGCTATGTGGTGGTACAATTGGTGCATTCTCACTGACTGTGGAAAGCGTTGAAACTGTTGAATTGGGACGAGAGTTAGTCGAGGATAAAGCACTGGGAACTCTTGTGATCTTCACTTCTATTGGAGAAAAAAAAAAAGAAATGAGAATATTGGAAACTGTAAGCCACAATGAAATAAAATTTTGAAAATATTACAAGTGATAGTTATAAGCCGTGAGATACAGTGAGGTCTCTTGATGCCCTAATTGTTGTGAAGTAAATTAGAAGTGCCTAAGTGTTTGCCTTTATCAGCAGAAAAATGCAGATTTTCTAGTCATAACTGGCAATGAAGGTAATGACAAAAATTACAAAATAATGTACGTGTATCAGCACAAATTCTCACAGCCAACTTCAAAAGGGACAGAAAATTCATGCGTGCGATCTTACTTCTTTTATGGTTTCGTCTCTGCTTGCGATACACCAGCAGGCACAACACCCCACCAACAGCAATCCCAACCAGTAATATTATGAGACATATCGCCACAAACACTCCTTTGTTTATGCGAAGTTCATTGTCTGATAACTTATCTGCAAAGAAACATACAGACAAAACTCAGTTAGTAGTACTCATCATGTCGAATTTTTCGCACATTTTTATTGGTTCTTACAATCAATTGAAGGGCAGATTCATAGATGATGTCAATACAGGGCTCGACACTACCTATTCAACTTACTAGCCTAGTGGCTAGTGATAACTCAGATGTTACTAGCCAAAACCTTTTTTTACTAGCCAAGCATTGTGGTTGGCTACCTTATTACATGAAATTTTCCTGACACGTTTATTTCGCGACTTGGGGATGTGCGTATTTCGTGACACTTAAATTCGGTGATTTTGCAAAAAAATTTGTATTTTGAATCACTTCAACTTCGCGTGTTTGAGTAATGCAAAATTTATTTCCTTGGCGATGTTACTTACACATCTCTTTGAATTTAGTAAACTGACTCTATCAAAAGTAACAAAAACACAATGGCGGTATTATATGTCAACAGTGACATAATGTGTTATGTTCCCAATACTTACTTATTTGTGTCACTTTAATTTTGCGATTTTTTGTTAAATTGCAAAATTGCAAAATTAACGTGTCACGAAAATTTCAGGTAGGTCCAATAACAACAGAATTACTAGCAAGACTTGAAAGCACAACACAAGTGACTCTCTTTGATACATAATGTTGTAGTTCCAGTTACCGAAAAGGCTTTCAAGACTCTGTTTTTCTCTGAGACTTCCTTAGAAAAATATCGAGACCCCCAAGAGCATTGATGTGTGCTTTCAGAAAATGCTGTCTTGTTTGTCAAATGTTTCTTTTAACAAAAGTAACATGTTCAGTTCCCCGTTTACGTACCACCCAGCGAAAAGTAGACAAACTTAAATTTACATACGTGTACGTGCTGAACAGCACACGCCCGGTACAATGATATGTCCACAATGAAATTCTGACCTTGTTTCCGAGAAAAGTGTAAATTTTGTGTTTCTCTTCCTTGAAGGAGACAGAAACTAGTTCAGCCAATTTCATTTTGTTGACTAGCCAAAGTGGCTAGTGGAAATCAACAACCTACTAGCCAAAACTAAATTTCTTCTAGTCTGTGGCTAGTTGGCTACCATTAGTGTTGACCCGTGTAAATAACATTTTTTTGTGTTTTACTGATAAGTTATAAATTAAACAAATAAATTCCATGATGCTGTGCATCTGTTTAGTAATTGATCACAGAAGATGTCAAAATGTGGTAAGAACATCAGTGACACATGGCTATCACCTCGTGTGCCACTTTTCTGTTCTTGCCATATTTTGACGTCATCTGTGATCAATTACTGCACAGATGCACGGCAATTTGTTTAACTGATTGGTTGTGCATAATACACATGTGAAACACCTGATCGAGTACTGTATATTATTTTGGATTTAATAATTATTTATTTTTGATATATGTTTGAATAACATCTCGGCACATACCAGTACCTCCAGTTCTGCCATCTTTTGAAGGTAATCCTGTTTTTTGGGGGAAAAATTAAAATAATTTAAATTATGTTTCATGGCTAAGTAAATAAAAATATATAAATACAGTAAACTCAAAACCTGTAAAATGCTAAATGTCCACTACATGTAGATCCTGCAATCAGTTTGACAGCTTTGACAGCNCCCCCCCCCCCCCCCTCTACCTCAAGCCTGACTGGATTTCTTGCACCCCCTCCCCTACATCACAAATCCACGAGAACTTAATGAAACCTTGATCAACTCTGCTGAAGAATTCTTCTCGCCTCCTCCACTGCTCTTGTTTTCTGTTTGTTACAAACTCATAAATATGTGTACTTTTGGGTTCATGCAAGGTCTCTTGAAGAAGGCGTTGGGTACCAAAAAATTTGTGTTGGTCCTGATCAATATAACAATGAGGGTGGGGATGGGGGGCGTAGTAAAGCTGATAATAAAAGATAACAAACGACCTTTATTTACTCTCAGTCAGTGCTTAAGGAGAGCCAAGCAATTAAATTTCAGAAGCAAATATTTCATAGTGAGGTTATAAACACCAACTAACTGGCAGAAGGCAAACCAGCTGACTATTTACAAACTGTGCCGAGGAGTTGAACTCAGATCTACCGTGAAACGACACCAGTTAGTTGACAGAGTGAAACTTGAACCCGCCTCCTCTGACCTGGACCTCCTGATCGGAAGTTCAGCGGACTAACCACTCAGCCATGCTGCCAGGCTACTTCCTTTTGTGATGAGGTTTATATAATTGCCCAAAATGCTTGTAGGCATCATTTCTTCCTTTTAAATGATAAATAGTCAGGGCCAGTACACATATGATGATCATTCTTCCAAGCAGCTGGTAGCACCATCTTCAGTATGCTGTATATAGTGGCATAGAAAACTACACAAATGATTTGGTCAGAATTGACACTTGCACATGCTTTTATGTCAAACAATAGCTGGCTGGCTGAAGTGGCCATATTAGTTAGCAATTCTATGAACCAATAATGTACATGCCTGTACATGTGTGCACAAGTTAAAAGTTATGGACTGATCAGTCTGACCGGGTTAAGATCAACTTGTATCAAAATCTACATACTGGTACCCATCATACAAACTGATATATTTATTACCATTCTGAACATACCAGCCATAAAGTTGGACAGTCGACATGGCCTCAGGCAGTAGGTTCATACATTTTGGCACAAGATTAGTTGTTTTTCTCATTTAAGTTAATATTGATATTCCTTTTTGACAGTGTCGTCATTAACCCTAACACCAGCTGTGGAATGTGTGATAACTGTACCAAAGGAGTGCCACATTTCTGCAAATTTGAAGGTGTGAAAGGCACTATTGGTATCAGGCGTAATGGAGGATGGGCACAGTATTGCCGTCTGCCAGCCAAGAATGTTGTTCCTTTACCCCATCAGCTGTCATTTGAACTTGGCTTGTTACTGGAACCAATGTCATGTGTTGTACATGGCTGGAATCTTTTACAGCCGATCTCTCCTGATTCAGAGATCTTAATTTGTGGAGCTGGAAGCATGGGTCTTCTGTTCATGTGTTTGTTACACTTCAGGGGTTACAGAGAAGTTGTTGTGACTGAGCTGTTAAAAGGTCGTCAGAAAATTGCACAGAAGCTTGACTTTGGTTTTCAAGTAGTACATCCTGAAATTTTAGTTTCGGAAGCTAGAAATGCAAAGCACGATGGTGATGAAGACTGGGGTTTTGACATTGTCATCGACTGCTCTGGGGATCCAAAGACCCTTGAACAAGGGGTTCAGTGGTTACGTCAAGGAGGAAAATTTCTTCTGTTTGGAATTTCACCTGCAGGATCCGAAGCAAAAATTGATCCACATGAAGTTTATGCCAAGGAACTGAAGATCATAGCATCCAGGATTAATCCTTTTACCTTCTCCTCATCTATGCAGATAATACAGGATATGGGAGAACGGTACTTGAGTTTTGGGAGGTTAGGTATGCGCACTTTTCAACTCCAGGAATTTACAGCAGCTTTGGAAGTCCAACGTAGTGGAGAAATTTCAAAAGCTGTCTTTGAAAATTAAGTGTTGGTGAAATGAGTTTTCCAATTTCCTTCAGCAGGAGCTCAATGCAAACCATTGTGCAATATGTATCTCGCTCTCTTTCCCATCAAATCATTTTAAGTTAAAGTGTAATATTCAGGAGGTCATCTACTTCTAAACATCAGGTCTGGGTTGTTTGAAAGGTGGATGATGCTATCCACCAGACAAATCACTATCCAGTGGATTGCATGGTTTGGTTTGTTAACACTTGGTAACACTGGATAGCAATTTATCTGGTGGGCAGCGTTATTCAGTCTTCAAACAACAGGGGCCAGTATGGCATCAGTGTAGCAGCAGAATTCTCAGTGTAGCTTTTCTGTCCCTCTCTCCTAGATTATTAAAAACGAAAACTGAGAATGGAACAGTGTTATCACGTTTTCAAATTTATCAGAAGCCTTACGACTAACATATCACAGGGAATGAAGAGGATTAGTGAGTGTAATTAAAATGTAACATATACAGCTGTATTCTTTCTGAAAGGCAATCAGCCAAGGCTTTCCCAGTAGAATTAGTTCATGCTTTGAGCTGTCCATATATTGGGTTATAATGCTCTTAGCAACATGAAAAGTACTCGAGAAGCTAGAGTTGCTCTAGGCATAAACACTTATGCTCCTCTTGTCTCCAAACTCTCCTATGTATAACTGGATGAAGCTACACTAAACATGAACCAATTCTTAAATCATATTCAGGGATGTTGCTAAAGAAAGAAAAACAAACAAAAAAAGAAATACTGGCTGGCTTTTTAACAAACTGAGCCAGCTTTTTTCACCTTGACACCTTGAAAGTCACCCAAAGTCTTTGTTTTGTAGTCAAACTTCCTCAGCCCATGATGAGCTCTCTTCAGTTAAAATTAGCAGCAATAGGTTCTCAGCTACATCCCTGTATATTACTACATTAATAATGAAAATAGTAACAAAACAGAAAATATTGCTTTGTATATTTTTATTCGTCTGCAAGTTCAGAGTACACTGCTCTAGGTTTTATCTAAGAAATTAAAAAATATATATACAGGACTTTCAACATAGTTGTGATAAATTAAAAAATTGGCAAAGGTCAACAATATCAAATTGTACAATAACATCATAAGGCTTAAATAACAAAAGGTGCTTAATATTGTACATTATTGAGAAAAGACCATGTACACCCATTAAAGAAAGCTTGCTGGATTTTGCAAAAAAACAGAAAACAAAAAACGACATGGAACTGCATTAGCTCCCATACTTGTATTAGTCAAACACTTCAGTCTGAAATCATTATTTTAAAAATGTGGTTACTTAGAAAAGTTAATAAATATTCCAGTATATGTGATCATAAATGTTTCTTCATGTATTATTGATGAATGGATCTATTTCACCAATATCACCTTACAAAATTCAAGAGACTGGAAGAAGCAGGAGGCACACAGGCACTCAAATACATTGCAAGTGCATTCTCGACAGATTCTTCCACTGTGACTTTGTGTACAATAGGAAGAGATACATCCTATGATAAATAAATTATATTCTGTTTTAAGCAAAAATGTTTTCAACTGCCCTGATAAATTGCTAAGTTTATTTACAAAATCTATAAACTCACAGCCAGTTGAATTCTATTATGGTAAAACATGAAGTATCACTTTGAAGTCAACCAACACACCTATAAACAAAGGTGGTAAAGTTGATAAAAATGATAATACGGTCCAGTACTTTTTTACACAATGTCATAAAAATTCTTTGAACTGCTAGAGCTTTCATCCCACAGTTTAAAACTGTATGGTGTTATATAATGTAATATTTAACTTGCTCTTCAGTACTTGGTTATTTGCAAATGATGCATAATTATTTACATGAATAGCTCTTGAGTATTTTGTTGTCCACACAATAAGTCTACATATAATGCTCTATAAAATGGATAAAATTGTTAAAAATGTCCTATCTAATGCTATGTAAGGTGGAAATACTTTACTAGCTATGTGGTGGTACAATTGGTGCATTCTCACTGACTGTGGAAAGCGTTGAAACTGTTGAATTGGGACGAGAGTTAGTCGAGGATAAAGCACTGGGAACTCTTGTGATCTTCACTTCTATTGGAGAAAAAAAAAAAGAAATGAGAATATTGGAAACTGTAAGCCACAATGAAATAAAATTTTGAAAATATTACAAGTGATAGTTATAAGCCGTGAGATACAGTGAGGTCTCTTGATGCCCTAATTGTTGTGAAGTAAATTAGAAGTGCCTAAGTGTTTGCCTTTATCAGCAGAAAAATGCAGATTTTCTAGTCATAACTGGCAATGAAGGTAATGACAAAAATTACAAAATAATGTACGTGTATCAGCACAAATTCTCACAGCCAACTTCAAAAGGGACAGAAAATTCATGCGTGCGATCTTACTTCTTTTATGGTTTCGTCTCTGCTTGCGATACACCAGCAGGCACAACACCCCACCAACAGCAATCCCAACCAGTAATATTATGAGACATATCGCCACAAACACTCCTTTGTTTATGCGAAGTTCATTGTCTGATAACTTATCTGCAAAGAAACATACAGACAAAACTCAGTTAGTAGTACTCATCATGTCGAATTTTTCGCACATTTTTATTGGTTCTTACAATCAATTGAAGGGCAGATTCATAGATGATGTCAATACAGGGCTCGACACTACCTATTCAACTTACTAGCCTAGTGGCTAGTGATAACTCAGATGTTACTAGCCAAAACCTTTTTTTACTAGCCAAGCATTGTGGTTGGCTACCTTATTACATGAAATTTTCCTGACACGTTTATTTCGCGACTTGGGGATGTGCGTATTTCGTGACACTTAAATTCGGTGATTTTGCAAAAAAATTTGTATTTTGAATCACTTCAACTTCGCGTGTTTGAGTAATGCAAAATTTATTTCCTTGGCGATGTTACTTACACATCTCTTTGAATTTAGTAAACTGACTCTATCAAAAGTAACAAAAACACAATGGCGGTATTATATGTCAACAGTGACATAATGTGTTATGTTCCCAATACTTACTTATTTGTGTCACTTTAATTTTGCGATTTTTTGTTAAATTGCAAAATTGCAAAATTAACGTGTCACGAAAATTTCAGGTAGGTCCAATAACAACAGAATTACTAGCAAGACTTGAAAGCACAACACAAGTGACTCTCTTTGATACATAATGTTGTAGTTCCAGTTACCGAAAAGGCTTTCAAGACTCTGTTTTTCTCTGAGACTTCCTTAGAAAAATATCGAGACCCCCAAGAGCATTGATGTGTGCTTTCAGAAAATGCTGTCTTGTTTGTCAAATGTTTCTTTTAACAAAAGTAACATGTTCAGTTCCCCGTTTACGTACCACCCAGCGAAAAGTAGACAAACTTAAATTTACATACGTGTACGTGCTGAACAGCACACGCCCGGTACAATGATATGTCCACAATGAAATTCTGACCTTGTTTCCGAGAAAAGTGTAAATTTTGTGTTTCTCTTCCTTGAAGGAGACAGAAACTAGTTCAGCCAATTTCATTTTGTTGACTAGCCAAAGTGGCTAGTGGAAATCAACAACCTACTAGCCAAAACTAAATTTCTTCTAGTCTGTGGCTAGTTGGCTACCATTAGTGTTGACCCGTGTAAATAACATTTTTTTGTGTTTTACTGATAAGTTATAAATTAAACAAATAAATTCCATGATGCTGTGCATCTGTTTAGTAATTGATCACAGAAGATGTCAAAATGTGGTAAGAACATCAGTGACACATGGCTATCACCTCGTGTGCCACTTTTCTGTTCTTGCCATATTTTGACGTCATCTGTGATCAATTACTGCACAGATGCACGGCAATTTGTTTAACTGATTGGTTGTGCATAATACACATGTGAAACACCTGATTGAGTACTGTATATTATTTTGGATTTAATAATTATTTATTTTTGATATATGTTTGAATAACATCTCGGCACATACCAGTACCTCCAGTTCTGCCATCTTTTGAAGGTAATCCTGTTTTTTGGGGGAAAAATTAAAATAATTTAAATTATGTTTCATGGCTAAGTAAATAAAAATATATAAATACAGTAAACTCAAAACCTGTAAAATGCTAAATGTCCACTACATGTAGATCCTGCAATCAGTTTGACAGCTTTGACAGCTTTGACAGCTAGTTCTGTTTTGTTTAGACATATTTTTCATACACCTACTTTGTATTTTGATACAGTTTGTTTTGCAAGTCAGGGTTAACAAATCAATACGCTCATTACCTGGTTCTGTTGCTGTTTCACTGTTAGTAGTGGAACCTGAATAATAGAAAAACAACAGAGACCTAGCTTAGGCATTGATCATTCAGTGCTGTACTTAATTGAATGAAGCTGCAACAAATTAACAAACTGAACAAAACACTTGACACATGTACTAAATTTATGTTAGTATTCTTTGATATAAATTCATTGACTAATTTGATAAGTTTGAACTTTGCCCTTATTTATCTACCCAGATATCTACCTCTGCTACTAAATGAAAGTGGACTGGACTAGTTCTCATTCATCTTATTCGATCAACAGAACTACCTCTACTACTATACATGTACATGTATATTGTTTCATCTACAGATATATCAACATGTTGACTTGAAATAGAACATGTACAAACTCAAGGATATATGTCAAGACATATGTTAAGAGTACAGAATTTGTTATTTATTTTATTAAAATAATAATTTAACAATAATTAAATTATGTTTAATCAAAGAAAAACAATTAGAATATTAGCATACTGTATCTTGTATAAGCAACTACAAAAAAGAAAAATGAAAGAAACTGATCCACTAAGACAGTGGAAGACTGAGACATTTCAGTAAATTGTGGTTAATAATTTTTTTAATGATTTACAATCCATGAATTCTCAAACTGTATTAATTTATATAATTCAACCACATTTGCACAACAAATACAGCCTGCATGTACACATCTACATTGTACTTACATGGTAAAGTTTGAGAAGATTTTACTGTACACAATCTTCTGTCTGGACCAATGCAGGGTAATCCTCCATTTGCTGGAGTGGGACTGTTACAGTGCCGAGTTTGATGGCCATCAAGGCATTCACTCCAATCACACCAACCACCATGAAAGACTGTAAACCAAATATAAACAGATGAAAGTATGTTACTTTAAATTGCTTTGGAGATATGAACTAGAATTTTAGTAACATAAACTTCCACGATTCTTTGGGCAATTAGTGGCTCGACAGACACACTGCTGAGAAGAATAACTTAGTTTTCACACATGTTCAACAAATGTTAATTTGAAAGTAATTGCCAGTCCTACTGGCTAAATCTTTATCAGAGTGTTATTTAGAATTAAGATGTACCTTTGTTTCCTTCAGGACAGTTAGGATCAGAGCTGCCATTACAAACATACATCTTCAACTTCATCCCTTGATTGCAATACCCGCCTTGTGTATTTGTCAGTGAGCTAAGCAATCCAGATGCTGTATCTAAAAAGTTAATATTTGAAAAGAGCAACAAACAATGTATTAAAGTGAATAAATTTGCACAAAACAATTTTTCTCCTTGGTATTGGTGAACATCAGACGATATTTTTGTGACTGCTTAAATTAATTACTACCAATAATTGGTAGTTAATTAAATTAATTGTTAATTATTCCTAAGCTAAACCTGAGGTTAATCTTAATTGGACAGGATGAAGTTTCCGGCATTTCAAAGGGTGTCTGTCTTAACTATTTCTTCATGCAGTGCAGAAGAGTGACTAATCAAAACAGGAAAGTTTGGGGTCAGCATTTAGGACTGTCTACATGTAGTGTATGTAATTACACTGGTCTGTAGATTAACTACCCACCCAAGATTCTGTGATTGTTATTAAACTATGTCGGATTAAATTACTGTTGATAAGAACTCCCCTAAAATAGATACAGTGAGAGCCTACAATTAATGGTATATATAACATTGAACGGAAACAGATTGTGGAATCATTGTCACTGTCGTTAAGACAAGAAGGCACTTTCTGTATTTTAGTATACATACATGTTAATTCTTGCCATGAATTCTTTTGACTTTTAATTGTTTGAAGAACAATGGCACTTACTTATAAAGTAATATGCTTTCCCTTGCTTAAATTTAGGATCATTGATGTCTGCAGTTGATGGTTGAAACACAATTGTGGCATGGCTATACTTTGATGGATCATCACAACTCAAAATACTAAGTCCCCCAGTTGCATTGCAGTTGTTGTAGCCATTTTCATCCACCATATATACATTTTGATAGAGAAGGTCTTTAGAAAAAGAAGTGTCTCTTATGATGGGATATTGCACCAAGTTTGGACAGATGATCGACAGTTTGTCAAATGCCATGACCTTTCTTGTTGTGTCACCAAGGTTTTTAAACCTAAAATAGAAATGCAATGTAGATATAAATATCATGAGTTCAATGACAAGTGTTCATTTCACAATGTCCGCCAAAGATTGGGCAACCTGCCACTATACATGCACAATTCACATTTCTTTCCTCCATGGGTTGTAAACATTACTGATTAGTTTTCAAAATAATTAAGCTTAAATTATTCAGACCCACAACTCAAAGCCTTTGTGGGGCACATTTCACTACAGCTAAATCAAACACAACAAAAAACACCCAGCACTGGAATAAGTCGGGTACACTATAATTGCTCATTTACAAAACAGCGGTCCGTAATGCCCTTTGCAGTTCTTTAATACTGCGTTGCTAGGGATATGGAAATCAACTTGTAAGTTCAGCTTCTTGTAAACTTCTGTTCACATAAAAGGTTCAGTTTTTAATACGTGAGGAAACGTTTAAAGTACATCATTTATACTCACAGTTGATTTTCTGGATGCCATAATATCGAAGGCAATATTTCTGCTACACTCCCAGATACCAATAAGCAAAAACAGAAAACGACCGTTACTCCACGGCAGTGCATTGATGCGAGCGCCATAAGATTTTTTTCTTGTACTCCTCCAAGAAACGATTACAAACGGCAAAACACGATAGTTGTGTCTACAACATCCGACGAGAACACTTAACGAAATGTGCGTGCATTTGCACCCGCTACAAGGACACTCAGTGCTAAAATACGAACGTTTCACATAGGAAGTTACATCATTTCCACAAAAACCACGACAGTCTCTTCTGCATGCCAATGCAAAACACTCCCCAGATTAACAATTTCCTGTTACCCGAGAGGGGGTAGGGGTCATATTTTGTTTTCGATAAAATAGGTATAAATTATGTGAAGAAAGCAGTTTTAGAACGAAATTGTTATTAACATATATAATATAAATATATTGAANATGATGCTGTGCATCTGTTTAGTAATTGATCACAGAAGATGTCAAAATGTGGTAAGAACATCAGTGACACATGGCTATCACCTCGTGTGCCACTTTTCTGTTCTTGCCATATTTTGACGTCATCTGTGATCAATTACTGCACAGATGCACGGCAATTTGTTTAACTGATTGGTTGTGCATAATACACATGTGAAACACCTGATTGAGTACTGTATATTATTTTGGATTTAATAATTATTTATTTTTGATATATGTTTGAATAACATCTCGGCACATACCGGTACCTCCAGTTCTGCCATCTTTTGAAGGTAATCCTGTTTTTTGGGGGAAAAATTAAAATAATTTAAATTATGTTTCATGGCTAAGTAAATAAAAATATATAAATACAGTAAACTCAAAACCTGTAAAATGCTAAATGTCCACTACATGTAGATCCTGCAATCAGTTTGACAGCTTTGACAGCTTTGACAGCTAGTTCTGTTTTGTTTAGACATATTTTTCATACACCTACTTTGTATTTTGATACAGTTTGTTTTGCAAGTCAGGGTTAACAAATCAATACGCTCATTACCTGGTTCTGTTGCTGTTTCACTGTTAGTAGTGGAACCTGAATAATAGAAAAACAACAGAGACCTAGCTTAGGCATTGATCATTCAGTGCTGTACTTAATTGAATGAAGCTGCAACAAATTAACAAACTGAACAAAACACTTGACACATGTACTAAATTTATGTTAGTATTCTTTGATATAAATTCATTGACTAATTTGATAAGTTTGAACTTTGCCCTTATTTATCTACCCAGATATCTACCTCTGCTACTAAATGAAAGTGGACTGGACTAGTTCTCATTCATCTTATTCGATCAACAGAACTACCTCTACTACTATACATGTACATGTATATTGTTTCATCTACAGATATATCAACATGTTGACTTGAAATAGAACATGTACAAACTCAAGGATATATGTCAAGACATATGTTAAGAGTACAGAATTTGTTATTTATTTTATTAAAATAATAATTTAACAATAATTAAATTATGTTTAATCAAAGAAAAACAATTAGAATATTAGCATACTGTATCTTGTATAAGCAACTACAAAAAAGAAAAATGAAAGAAACTGATCCACTAAGACAGTGGAAGACTGAGACATTTCAGTAAATTGTGGTTAATAATTTTTTTAATGATTTACAATCCATGAATTCTCAAACTGTATTAATTTATATAATTCAACCACATTTGCACAACAAATACAGCCTGCATGTACACATCTACATTGTACTTACATGGTAAAGTTTGAGAAGATTTTACTGTACACAATCTTCTGTCTGGACCAATGCAGGGTAATCCTCCATTTGCTGGAGTGGGACTGTTACAGTGCCGAGTTTGATGGCCATCAAGGCATTCACTCCAATCACACCAACCACCATGAAAGACTGTAAACCAAATATAAACAGATGAAAGTATGTTACTTTAAATTGCTTTGGAGATATGAACTAGAATTTTAGTAACATAAACTTCCACGATTCTTTGGGCAATTAGTGGCTCGACAGACACACTGCTGAGAAGAATAACTTAGTTTTCACACATGTTCAACAAATGTTAATTTGAAAGTAATTGCCAGTCCTACTGGCTAAATCTTTATCAGAGTGTTATTTAGAATTAAGATGTACCTTTGTTTCCTTCAGGACAGTTAGGATCAGAGCTGCCATTACAAACATACATCTTCAACTTCATCCCTTGATTGCAATACCCGCCTTGTGTATTTGTCAGTGAGCTAAGCAATCCAGATGCTGTATCTAAAAAGTTAATATTTGAAAAGAGCAACAAACAATGTATTAAAGTGAATAAATTTGCACAAAACAATTTTTCTCCTTGGTATTGGTGAACATCAGACGATATTTTTGTGACTGCTTAAATTAATTACTACCAATAATTGGTAGTTAATTAAATTAATTGTTAATTATTCCTAAGCTAAACCTGAGGTTAATCTTAATTGGACAGGATGAAGTTTCCGGCATTTCAAAGGGTGTCTGTCTTAACTATTTCTTCATGCAGTGCAGAAGAGTGACTAATCAAAACAGGAAAGTTTGGGGTCAGCATTTAGGACTGTCTACATGTAGTGTATGTAATTACACTGGTCTGTAGATTAACTACCCACCCAAGATTCTGTGATTGTTATTAAACTATGTCGGATTAAATTACTGTTGATAAGAACTCCCCTAAAATAGATACAGTGAGAGCCTACAATTAATGGTATATATAACATTGAACGGAAACAGATTGTGGAATCATTGTCACTGTCGTTAAGACAAGAAGGCACTTTCTGTATTTTAGTATACATACATGTTAATTCTTGCCATGAATTCTTTTGACTTTTAATTGTTTGAAGAACAATGGCACTTACTTATAAAGTAATATGCTTTCCCTTGCTTAAATTTAGGATCATTGATGTCTGCAGTTGATGGTTGAAACACAATTGTGGCATGGCTATACTTTGATGGATCATCACAACTCAAAATACTAAGTCCCCCAGTTGCATTGCAGTTGTTGTAGCCATTTTCATCCACCATATATACATTTTGATAGAGAAGGTCTTTAGAAAAAGAAGTGTCTCTTATGATGGGATATTGCACCAAGTTTGGACAGATGATCGACAGTTTGTCAAATGCCATGACCTTTCTTGTTGTGTCACCAAGGTTTTTAAACCTAAAATAGAAATGCAATGTAGATATAAATATCATGAGTTCAATGACAAGTGTTCATTTCACAATGTCCGCCAAAGATTGGGCAACCTGCCACTATACATGCACAATTCACATTTCTTTCCTCCATGGGTTGTAAACATTACTGATTAGTTTTCAAAATAATTAAGCTTAAATTATTCAGACCCACAACTCAAAGCCTTTGTGGGGCACATTTCACTACAGCTAAATCAAACACAACAAAAAACACCCAGCACTGGAATAAGTCGGGTACACTATAATTGCTCATTTACAAAACAGCGGTCCGTAATGCCCTTTGCAGTTCTTTAATACTGCGTTGCTAGGGATATGGAAATCAACTTGTAAGTTCAGCTTCTTGTAAACTTCTGTTCACATAAAAGGTTCAGTTTTTAATACGTGAGGAAACGTTTAAAGTACATCATTTATACTCACAGTTGATTTTCTGGATGCCATAATATCGAAGGCAATATTTCTGCTACACTCCCAGATACCAATAAGCAAAAACAGAAAACGACCGTTACTCCACGGCAGTGCATTGATGCGAGCGCCATAAGATTTTTTTCTTGTACTCCTCCAAGAAACGATTACAAACGGCAAAACACGATAGTTGTGTCTACAACATCCGACGAGAACACTTAACGAAATGTGCGTGCATTTGCACCCGCTACAAGGACACTCAGTGCTAAAATACGAACGTTTCACATAGGAAGTTACATCATTTCCACAAAAACCACGACAGTCTCTTCTGCATGCCAATGCAAAACACTCCCCAGATTAACAATTTCCTGTTACCCGAGAGGGGGTAGGGGTCATATTTTGTTTTCGATAAAATAGGTATAAATTATGTGAAGAAAGCAGTTTTAGAACGAAATTGTTATTAACATATATAATATAAATATATTGAATATTTCTATTTGGAGAACGAGGGATAATTTAATTCAATTTTAGTTAAATTATGACTTTTCTACTTACCCTCCCTATGACAGTTTACATTTCGCACGTACCAACCCTAAATGACGTCAATTGCCGTAACAGGTCGAAATATGGTCTGGGGGCACATTTGCAGTCCGCAGGAAGTTCAATTGTTTTCCTTTTTCAGCGTAAAGCCCAAAAGATGCAATTTCCCGCTTTTGGATAACTCAAAACCAAAACGGAGGGAAATTCGAAACAGAGCAGTCGAAGCAGACCAATATGAATCGTAACAACAAAATTATTCACCGGTCAGGAAATGACTTGGTGACTCGCGAATAAGCTCGAGATATCTCGAGCTCCTTTGTTGTCCAATCATCCATCAAACGATTCACGTAGCGCTAAATTTGTTTGTGTACCCCACAATTGAAAATCACACAGCTTGCAAAAAAAATAAGCTTTCTTAAAATAGACAGACAGTTTCGCTTTCTATGTCTTCTTAAGGAAGTTTTTTTTTAAAACTTGATTAAATTTGCAGGTCACTCCAATGTAAGCATTGCGTGGGATCATATTCAGGCATCCGCTCTACCAGGTTGGAGAATACATATATTTACTAAGGGATTGGAGTGGGGAAGCAATAAACATTTTATCAGTTTTTGTCGGAAAGTTGCGGTTAAACAAAACATAGTCTGAGGTCTCGCTATTCAGATAGTCAAACTCAGCGACTGATCCCTTGCCGCTGAGATCATTCACAACTGAGGGTTGTATCACAAGGCTACCGCTACAAATCAGAAAATGCGGAAGATGTTGTGAAATATTTTTTTGCCTTTTAGTATCAAAAATGCACTGTGGCAAATCTTGTCGTGTATCCATGTTCCAACAAGCTACATCCCTCGTTTACTGCCTCCTTATTAGAAACGCTTTTACACTATATGTTTACGTTGTTAGAGTGGTTTGTTTGAAGTGAGTGTGTGCTCAGTCAAGGACATGATAACCGAAGTTCTACTGTTGTGGAGTGCTGTCATATGTTCAGTGTTTACATTTTTGCTATACGCATGGGAGAGCCATGACTGAAACAGAAGGAGGAAGGGTGCAGCTGTTTGTAAATACAAAACAATAAGTTGTCTTGTGACTAACTTGATTATCGTCAGTGTCAAGTTTTAAAACTCAGTTTACGTCTTCCCGCGCGCCTAAAAGAAACACTCTTTGTTGACTCTTTCAGTAAACGTTTTATAGAAAATCAGTCATCCACAGCATTGGTCAGCATTCCGATTTCCTGCATACATAGAAGAAGTAAATAGGTAATTGCTAAGGCGAACTTTACTGAGCTGTGCTTTAGATTGAAACTTTGAAAACCCAACCCAATAAGGTGCCTATTTTCAGCAGTGGTCGACGTCATTCTTTTTTCATCTTCTTTAAGCTAATTACCAAGTACTGAACTAAACAGTGACCTTTGGACAGCTGCGTAATAGACCCAACCCGTTTCTCTATGAACGGAACCATAAATTATCAATATGACTGGATCCATTGATTTGAAAGTAGGCGAGAAAACACTGGCAATCATTACAACTCTTCGCGAAGCCACGCACCGAATAAATAAACAAGATAAAATTTGTCCAGTGATGACTCGAGGAACAAACAATGAACTGGTGAACCAGTATTTCGAGTCTTAAGTTAACATGTGGTCACGTTCAATTCGCTGAAAGCAGCAGTATCGAGCGATGCTGCTTGGAAGGGAAAAGGAGCGTCCGCCCTCAAGTGTGCGGTGACGAATGCGTGCGCTGATGAACTTCCGGAGCCGCTTGACGTGATCCTGATTTCCATGAAAAAAGTGAAGTGACTAAATTAGGTATCTTGTTTGTTTGGGCAGTTCCACTGGGAATAACATAAACAAAGAGAAACGATTATTGTATATTTATAGTAAATATAACAGGCTTTGAGTACCCTGTTAGACTAAACAATTCAGTTTCGAGAATCCATTGACCAACCGCAATTTTCTACGATTTTAATTCGCATCATTTAGCGGATCTGATTTCAAACACGGACTTTTAATAAAGCTTCTTCTAAATGAAATAAATACTTTTTCGGTCACGGCTCAGCAAGCGGAAAAACTGAGATCAGTTTTGGCATGTTTGATACAGCTAATGTTCAGGGTTATTAAATTTTCTACCTCCTGGACTCCCCTCATGCTAACTTTAATACCAACACACCCCTTGCAAAAGGCTTTTATTGTTCACTTCTTGATCAAGAAAACAAAGTAAGTCTAAAGAGGCAGCCACACAGGATTAATTAACAGCCTTTAGCTGGTATCATGGGCTACCGCCTTATATAGAGGCAGTTTCGCCATTTCTAGCCCTGTCGTTATAATTAGCCGGGTCATGCAATCAATGCCACCAGTAAATCGATGTGAATGCATTTTTTTCACTATTTATAATATCTATTGATATATGTATTTTCTTATTATCTCTAATATCTATTAAAATATATTTCTGTTCATAAATGAAATGGAAAGAGTGGAAAAAAGAAAAAGTAGATTAGAGTATATTTTTTATATCCTTAGATTGAGACAAATAGTCATGGTAGGTTCAGAATGCCAGATTCAAGTGCCTTCGGTGTTGGACGTGTTGCTGTGGTCCCTTCAGCTTTTCTCTTCTTCTTTCTCCTCATCCTCATTCATCATTATAATCACGATCGTTGCCTGACACCACTGATCCACACAGCTGATTCTTGTCACAACGCGAGGCGCCGAGAACAAAACCTTTGGAGTGTCGTACGAATGAAATTTGCATGTTTGTACATATATATATATATATATATATATATATATATATATATATATATATATATATATATATATATATATATATATATATATATATATA